AATGCAAATGCAACTGATATGAATTGTGCAAGAAATAGCAATGGAAAAATAATATTATTTAAGTAAACAGTTATTCGATACTCTAGGTAAGTAATGAAGTTATATGAAAATGTGACATGGATGGGAAATTCTCATTCGCAATGAAATTTTTAGGCATCTTTTTTTGAGAACATCACACGAATTCAGTCGATTTGCCCAGAAACTGCAGAGTCACAGCGATGAAGCACTTCATGAAATTGGTGGTATGAGCTGAATGAGGGACGACAAAAACAGAATCAAATGAACTCAGACGAAATGAACTGATGGTCAAGTGATTTTGTTGAAATTTCAGGAGTGGTCCTAGCCGTCTCCATATTGGCATTGGCGTTCTGGGATACGATTCTATTGTGGTGTGCCTTTTTCTATTACGGTTTGAGTGCGTTGACACGTGCACATAACAGCGATACAACAAAACTGCTCATTCCATGGTTTCATGGCTTTTCGCAAATCGCGAACACTGCTTCGGTATGCATATTGCATCGTCTCTCGGTCATCATCATTTCACTATCCACTATTCGAGTGATCTATCTGATTATCATTCTCGGGAATCAGATTTTTTTAGCCGAATCAAAATCTCTAAACAAATGATCTCACACTGTTATCACACTCTTGCAACTAGACTACCATCTCGTCGTCGACACCTTCTGAGGTACTCAGTAAGCCTGTGAGTTTGCCTGATTAGACGTGTCACATCTCACTGCATGACACCAACATTTTCAGTTTAGACTCATTTAGCTTTAGGTATATCTTGTATGTAACTTAAATATTGGATATGTGAGAAAAAGTGTGAGCGACGTTTTATTGAGTGATACTTTGAGGCACAGCATAAACTCGCATTTTTCGCGGCGTTTTGGGGCAAAATTTTTTCCGATGAATCTGTCATTGACAGTTTATACTGCTCATTCATCAAACGAGACCAATCGTGTAATTCTGAACATACAAACTTATTTTGTGCTCATTTTGATAATAAAATGGATATGAGTTGTGCATATTACTCTCTCGCTCTCCAAAACAAAAAAAGCACCAAAAAATTGTGCCTTCTTATGAAGCCAGTAGATGTTTGGAAAGGAAACAAATGAAGAGAAAAATCCTAATGCATTCTCGTTCGGCTCCCATCATGGACAAACTTTGTTTGCCTTAATCGCATCACATCCTCAGCTATAACACATTCCATTCTAGAGAATATCCATGGACGTTTTTTATTCTAGAATTTCGTAGTTGTTAGGGAACGTTACAACAACTAACATAGACAAAAATTCAAACAACAAAAAATTTCAACAAATATCAAATTTCGACAAAATCCATCTGTGAACAATTATTAAATGAAATTTGATGTATTAATGAGCGGAATGGTTTAGTGTTATGTTGAAATCATAGCATCGAACTTTAGTAATCATTGGGCTGCTGATCATTGAGATAAATGATGAGATAAAAAGATTAGAGGTGAATTTTGCGATAAGAGATATCCTTTTCAGATTTGGTGTGTTGTCGCAATAACGGTGCAGCGGTTTATGGCCAGTCGAGATCCGTTCCGATGTTCCAGGCAGGTTTCTCACAAGTCATGCTCTATTGAAATGAAGAAAGAAACCTCAGCAAAGGTTACTGAGGGTTTCGGAAAAGCACAATGCATAATTGAAGTTGATATTTCCTTGCTCAATGATAGCTTGCTCAATAATTGATAGCTTGCTCACAGCAAACATGATCTATGAATTACTATTGTAAAAAAGGCGATGACACAACAGTTATCAATGCACTATTCCTTGAGAAGCGTGACATCATAAGAGATGCAGATGTAGGCATTCAGATAACCCAAAGACTGTCTCATTCATGCACGAATTATTATCTGGAAACCTGGATTACCTGGATCGGCCAGGCTATCAAACGTTTATAACGTTG